CCTCTCACCCCCAAACATTCCTCCTTCAGGAGATCAACATAGAGAAACTGAGCTGGTCCCTGAACTAGTTTTTGTCAAAAAACAAAAACAAAAAAACACAGAATAGGGGACTCCACAGGTATAAATTTTCACTAAGATATGAAATTATATTTTCTCATAAGGGAAACTACTTACCAAGTTCCACTTCAATGGAGTTGTTTCTTGGATAAGATATTTCTGGTGGCTTTTTTGGTGGGCTCACTAACCAAAAGAAAGAAAATTCTTTTCAGAAAACCTGAGGCAGCTGTAGCCTGTTCTATGCTCTATGACCCAAGTACAACCTAAAAAAACCCTGTCCTATGGACAAGACTGTCAGCAATTTTATAACAGACATCACTCAATACTGAAAGTACCATATCTCAGGTAGTCATTACTTCTGACTTGAAGCTGTGCTGTTCTTTGCTCCACCTCTTCCAAAATGTAGCGCCACAAATCTCTACACACTCATGGTGGCCTGGCTGTTCCATGGCATAAAAATCCTGTAATATTACATGCACAGGTGCTGAGAAGGGTATGGGTAAATACCTACAGTATTACCCTTCTACAATCTGGATAGCCTGTCACCCAGCACCACACAGGCACAAAGTGGAACCAAATACTTAGGAGTGTAATTCATCTATTTTAGACTTTTACTATTATAAAGGGGAAATTTAATTTCTGTACTCTAGTTAAAGGCCTTACAATTCTTCCCACAGCACTGTCTATAAGGAAGTACACCACCAGTGGCCCCTTTTAGATGTTTACATTAGGACTAGATAGATGACACTCTGGAAAGCTTATTTCTCTCTACAGGCTACAAAGGGAGAGTAACCAACAGGTGGATACCTAGACATCTACATTAAAAATGTCTCAGTATGGCTAAATGAATCCCGACTTGGAGGGTCCCTCACTGAACACACATACCATTTCCAGCTGTCTCAGGCAGCTGTAGGATGTTTTAGAATATTTCCTATCAGATATTCAAAGTTCAAGAAGGTTTCTTCAAGAGCACAAATTAACAAAAGGAAATCATAAAGCACCCCTTTTGAGCCCCCTAGCAAAGCACAGAGGATTGCCCCAGATATACCCCTCCCCTTCTGAAAACTGGGCCTGCACTATTGTTTGGACCCCAAATCACCCATTTCAGTGTTGACTTGCTCAGCTGGAGACTTTAAAAACAACTGAGCTGCCTTCAGTCATTTACAGCAATCATTTTGCTTCTACTGAAGAGTGGGAGCTGAAATTACACTAATAGAAGTTCTAGGGACAGATTTTAAGACCAGAATGATCGTTTCATCTGATCTGACCTTATGTTCCTCATATTTTGTTTATCCACATCATATACATATGACATTCTATGAATATGATACATATTCATATCATATATACACATACAACACGTATGCATATATATACACACACAGACAAAACTGGCAAGCACAAAAGCACAAAAAGAGACCATTAAATGGCAATGCAATCTATTAGTAAACCTGAAAATGTCTTTCATCAGCTGGAATGTAAAAACAGTATTGTCATTTCATACCTTGATACAGCACTGCCTTTTCAGTGATCCAATATCAATCTCATAATGCTGTGCTAGCAAAGGAGTTCGCGTTTTACAGCTAGGCCTTCTTTTATATTTTTTGTTGTGCTGGTAACCCCCCAACATAAATCAGGGTCTACTGAGCTAGACACACGATATTAGAGATCAGCAGTTCTTGTGCTGAGGAGCTTAAAACCAAAAACAGAAGAGACAAAGCTTTGAAGGAAACAGGACACACAGAGTCAAGATACTACTACAATTTGGACTGGTTTAGTTCATTGTTCTTGCGGCAAGAGGATAATGTAAAAGAGAGAGAACTAAGACAGGCAGGATAGAGGGCGCAGCTACAGCAGAAAGTACTGTGCCTACCAAGCTTTACAGAGCACCTGTTTAGGGACCTTGGCAGCTGGTCTGGGCAGCAAAGCTTTGACATACTGCAACTTTGAACAGGGGAACCAATCTTCAACACAGTGGCAACAACAGACAAAAATATATAAGGTCCCAGTCAGAATTTATTTCCCTCATATTTAGGTGAAAACTAGTAGCCCTAAGCATGTCTATCCACAAATTGGGTCTTTTAGCTTTAGTCTTTAGAAACGTGGACAAAAATTTGGAGTCATTGTTATGAACACAAACACAGTGAAATTATCTACTTGCCTTCTACACTCAGTCTGATGTCTCGTGAAATGTTATATTGTTTTCCATTGTAGGCATATGTTGTTTCGCATGTATAGTTTCCTTGATCATTTACAGTCACATTGAAAATGATAAGATCACTGTTTGAGAAGGCAAACCTTTTCCCTTCCAGCAGCTGGCAGTCCTAAACGTGTGTACAGAACTCTGTTAATTCATATCACTATCTCTTTCCATGGTTTGTCTCTCTTTAACGCAATCTGAACTTTCAATGGACCACAGCATAAGCATGGATGCCTTGCAGATGCTGAGGAAGAGTGAGGGGGGTGGATTAAAAAGCAAAACATACTTCATTTTGGCTCTGAGTTTTTAATTCAAAGAGACTCCAGTTCATTTCCTATAGAAAACAGTTTTCCATTTTAGAGAAATAAGGAAGTGAAATGCAAGTGTCAGGATTTGTAAAAGTATTCATTAATGAAGAATCGCTTAATAATAAGACTTAATTTTTTGAAGTATTTAAATACTCTTGGTACCATATGGACTTTTTTTCAGGAATGCTGCAGAAGGCACTACGTTCTTGTAACAGAAAGAGCCTTTAGATAAGCGTGAACAACATAAAATGGCATTTATTTAATGGAACAATATTGAGCATATAATGGATATGCCATCTCTCACAAAGGACATACTAAAACTGTTTCTGCACGAAAGAAATTCACGAATGTGTTTCGCTAGCAAGTAAAAAGATGCCACCTGGTGGATACGTGGGTCAACATTTCCTACGTCTAAGCTGAATTTCTACCCCATTAATCAAAAGAACTGTATACACCTTTAAAAGATAAAAAGTCTTAATCCTCTCCCAATTTGTTTCAAAAGCATTTTTCTGCCATTCACAGTAAATCTTTAGTTCTTCTCTTAAAATTCACAAACATCAGTGATTTATATTTTAAATAATGGACAGTTATAAGACAGTACAAAACACAGCATTCTCACCTTATACCAATAAACAGGCTGAATATTCTCCTTCCTGAAATAATCCAAGTGTGGACACACAACCTTTGCAGATGATAATGTGAATATCACCTCCTCTACAGCAAATTTTTCATTTAAGCATAAACCATCAATCCTCTTAAAAACTGTTACTTTTGTACACATTTTCCTGCAGCTTGTCAAATTCCTGCAATTAATATAACATAATGAAATTAATCTATTTGGCATATTTTCCAACTTGAAAAATATATGGTATTCTTTTTGGAGAAGAAAGAGAGGATGAGAAGTTTACAGTTTCTCTAATAGATTTACTTTTGCCTACTAGGAAAAAAAACCCCAAACTAGACTTACTTTCCCCAACCTAAAGCTAATTTTTGTGAATGCACTCTCCCCTCTTCATTAGTATTTCTCTTACCCCCAAAATTCTACTTGCTTTCTAAAAGTTATTCCCTTTGCAACTCATTTCTGTAGCAATGCTATTTTTTTTTAAACTTTCACCTTATGACACATTCATACTCTCCAGAATCTTCTAACATTGCAGGGAGAAACCAAATTAAATTCTTCTGCTGATGAATTCTAGAAAGTTTGTCTCTAGGCACAGCTGTCTGGTTACCAACTTTATACCACGTTAAGTTGTAGTCTCTACTTTTCAAGCTCTCTTCCAGTGAACATTTAATAGCAAGAGGCTGCCCGTCAGGCACAAGACTTTGCCTCAACATCACATCATAGGCGTCACATTTCTCTAAAAGAAAGAGATAAACATTAAAGAAAACCTCAGACACTGTAAAAGGACATATTGAACTCATTTCTTGATTACATTTACGAAGTTCATTGGAGTTTCCACCTCCATTCTTAAGCCATTTACTAAAAATACAGTTATAATCCCTTATCTTTACAGTTGAGAGTACTACTCAGTGATATACAGCTATAGTTACACCACTGAAATGAAAGGCTGTTTTTTGAATGCAAACTTTACACTCAACAGAATATCTTCGTTTGCAGCAGACTGTCATTTGTATGTTTTAGTTCAGACGCAAATTACTAAAGTACTTGTATTTCTCCAGTCTCTTTCATGCGCATGTACACAAACACACACATGCACACACAAATTTCACATTTAATGTCTTTATTTGTTAACTTCACTTAACTATAGTCAAAGTAAGTCTTCAAGACAGACTATGCTTTCAGCACCCAAACGTCCTAAGAGGACACTGAAGTTAAAGTTGCTGTTGCACAAATATTAAGTTTGCTATGGAAATTTCAACTCACCCTTCATTTTATGAGTATTTAGAGAGGAATTATTACAAGCACTTACCAGTGAGGTCATTTTCTTTCCTCCTGACACAAGGAGATTCATATGGGAAAAGAGCAACACTGTGAGATATTTTTTTTTTTTGTCAATATGACAAAAAAGACACCAACTCTGGATACCACGGTCACATTCCTGAATCAGTATTATATTTATCTAAAATTCCTTGCTTCATTATAATATAAGAACAGGCACACAGAGTCATGTAAGTGCCTGTCTAGCCCGAAACCCTGTCTCTACTAACAACCAGTGGCAAATGTGTAAGAAAAGAGTCGGACACAACAAGCAGAGTAATACTTTGCTTTTGGCCCTTTTCTTTCCTCTTATGTTCTGCATGAAAAACCATTCACTGGCTTTTATCATTTCTCTGGGTATCATGCCATTTCTTATAACAAGAAATATAAAGTAAATTTTCCCTCATCTGTCTAGTTTATGGTATATAGACCTCCATCACATCTTGCCTCAGTTGCCTCTTTTCTTTACCTCAGAGTCCTCATTCATTTAATGACTTCCCATTCGGAAGCCATCCTGTATCAGACAACACTGTCGCTCATCTCTCTACCTCTTCTGATATAGTCTTTCTGAGATGGAATGACCAGAACTGCAGGGTTCAATTGATGCACATTCATCATGGCGTTATAGAGTAGCATAATAAAGCTTTCTGTTTTCTGCTCTGCTGCTTCCCAAAAATTCTGCTTTTCTGACCACTGCTGATGACAGAGCTAATGCTTCCAGAGAGCATCCAGAGATGTCAACGTAGCATTTTTCCCAAGTGGTTATTAACTAACGTAATGCTCACATCACACACATACAGTATACATGTTTCTGCTCTACGTGTATGACCCTTCCATGCCCCTCCACATCTATTTGATTTTACTTATTGACATTCTATCACTAAACCATTCAATATCCAGACATCCCTTTCATAATGAGCATTAGTTTTGACCACCAAGGGACAATTTTGTATCATCCACAGTTCTCGCCACCTCACTATAAATCTTTTCCAGATTACTTATCAAAACATTGCTCAGATATCTGTATTGAATGCCCCATAATAACTTTGATGGTTATGAAATGCTGTGGCCACAGGAACTGGTAACACTTTTCTGCCACTAAATGCTAATATTCTGAAATAGTGGCATTTTTTTACACACTTCTTGCCTCAGTTTCTCTGAAATCCCCCTCCCCCAGTGCCCTCCATTATTTCCATGGAGCAGGAAAGAATTATAAGGTACACACATAAGTAAGCAGACAATAGAACTCTCTGCTATTGGGGGGAGAGCAACCAAATAATCACCTTTCCACATGGTTACTTACTTAGCCAAAAACCAGACTATCGAATGGATTGGTGAACCTTGCAGCTTGTCCATCCATAGGCAAAAAAACCCAAACTAAACCCAAACCATTTCCAGTCAAATGGCTTGCTAGAAACTCAAGGAATGGAAATTCATGAAGTTCTTCTTTTAACAGTCTGGCACTGCTGCAAGATTCCAGGTGGAATGACAAGATTATGACAGCAACTCATTTGAACCATCTGAAATGTTTTAAACATGAACTGGATTGTTGGTTGACAGCTGAAGGGCAGAAACAAGCAGTTGCAGCTGAGTAGCCTAGCAATTTTACAAAAATCTAAATGTTATATTATTGTCAAATATAGCCATCTCCAGCACGTGCTGGAGACCATTCAGCTGGAAAGCAGCTCTGCAGAGCAGAACATTGGGATCCTGGTGGACAACAAACTGACCATGGGCCACCAATGCTCCCTCACGGCGAGGAAGGCTAACGATGTCCTGGGCTGCATTAGGACCTGCCAGCAGGTCGAGGAAGGTGATCCTTCCCTTCTACTCAGCATTGGTGAGGCCACATCTGGAGTACTGCGGCCAGTTCTGGGCTCCCCAGTACAAGAGAGACATGGATTTACTGGAGAAAGTCCAGCACATGGCCACAAAGATGATTAAGGGAGTGGAGCACGAGGAGAGGCTGAAAGAGCAGGGACTGTTCAGCCTAGAGAAGAGAAGGCTTGGGGAGTGTGTGGGTGGATCTTATCGGAGTGTGTAAATACCTGATGGGAGGGAATGAAGAACAAAGAGCCAGACTTTTGCCAGTATTGCGCACTGACAGGACAAGAGGCAATGAGCACAAATAGAAACACAAAAAATTCCATCTGAACACAAGAAAACGCTTTTTTACTGTGAGGGTGATCAAACACTGGAACAAGTTGCCCAGAGAGGTCGTGGAGTCTCCATTCGTGGAGATATTAAAAATCCAGCTGGTACTGGGCAACCTGCTCTAGCTGACCCTGGCAGGGGATCAGGGAGGTTGGACTAGATGATCTCAAGAGTTCCCTTCCAACCTAAATGATTCTGTGATAAGACAGTATATAAAATATCACATATAGTACATAAAATATCACATATTACATGTTTTATAGGTTCCTGCTTTTAGGACTGTTTATAAGAACTCATTGGCATACACATAAATTTGACTTTTACAGCCATTTTCACAGAAAATTAGTATTACTTGTGTGAAAAAATAAGTTTCAGAACAAGACCTTCCATAGCCACCAATAAACTTACCTACAATAATTAAAGACAGAAATGCTGTTGTGATATTACACGAAAACAATGTTTTTGCTGTCATGTTTCCCTGCAGAAATGGAAAGAAAACCTTCAATTAGTGGTTTCCAATATAAACTTCCACAATTTAAAGTCAACGTTTGCATTACACAGTTAATACAGGACACAGGAAATACAGGAATTGTCTTTGGATTGTTTTGAGCCTGTTACCTGCTTGTTTTACCTGAGAGCTCCTAATTATTATACCAGAAGAAAAAAAAAAAAGAGTGAACATTTCCTATTCAGCTTGTCAAGCACTCAGGATTTTTTACACCTCTAGCACACTCCTCCCCAGTTCTTGCTTTCCCAAGCTACAGTCTTAGTCTCTCTAACTGTCCCTTAGATGGAATCCGATTTCATATTTCTGACCATATTTGCCACCCTCTTCTGTACCATCTCCAGTTATGCTACAGCCTGTCTGAAGTGGGGAGGGGAGAACAGAACTTGCATACAGTCTTCAAAACATAGGTGCACTACGGGTTTATAAACTAAACCAATGATTTTTTTCTGTTTTTTTTTTCCTAATAATTTCTAACAATCTATTTGTTCTTTGAGTACTACTGAATATTGACCTGATATTTCCATGGGCCTATGTAATAAAATCCCAAGACTTCATCACTGAGTGTTAAAAATCAGGTAAACCCAGTCAGCCGCTGAGCACGTGACGTTAGGATTTTGCCCACGTTTTCATTTTAATTTTTCTTTACATTTACCTACAACAAATTTCTTCTGCTATTATTTCCCAGTCATTCACTATCATGACATCCTTCTGCCACTCTTTGCAATCAACGACTCTGTGTTCTAGCCTGAATGGCTTTGCACTGTTGGCAAATTCTGCCACTGCAACAGTTTCCCTCTGTCCAGATCATTAAAAATATACGCTGAGCAGAAGAGAGTTGTTTGGGACTCCAGTAGTGATCTTCCTCCACCTGAAAAACTGAGCATTTATCTTTTACCTACTTATTTATACATGTGAGAATAAATACATTATGGCAGTCTGGCTTCATTGACAGCCTCTGCTGAATGCCTTTTGGAAATTAAGGCAGATTGTATCGATCACATCTCCTGTATCCAATGTGTTCACACACGTGTACAATTCTAATACACTTCTAGTATTTGAGAGCCATGACTTCCCTATACAAAAGTCACTGTTGACTCCTTCCCTACATAATTTATCTTCATTTCCACTGGTTCCATTCTCTAAAGCAGTTTCTACCCAGCTGCCTGCTGCAGATACCAGGCTCACTGGTCTCTACTTTCCTGGCTCTCCTTTGATCACTTGGGGAGGATAAAAAAACATTTATCACTTTCTGATCTTTTGGTCCCAAAGCTGCTCTAAATGAGACATTTACAACAAGAGAACACAAGAGTATCAGCCAGTCGTGGTGCTTTGTTACAAAACATTTCGTTCTATAACTGCCTTTTACTGATTTTTCAATTTGAGACAGATCCTTCCATGGAAGATTAGCCGTAAGAAAAGGTACTGGCACTGAAATCCATGCTCTTCCAAGATGAACACAAATGCAAAAAATTCTTTTTTTTTTTCCCCTTGCTATGTTCGTATCTTCCAATAGCCCATCCCATTGGGGTTTTTTATACCCGAATGATCTATTGGCTCTCAGGACTCTTTGGTAGGCTTTTTATCCCTAACATGTTTGGAGAAGGATGTATTAGTTGCATGCCTCTGACAAGGTGTTCCCTAACTTGGCCTGCCTTACTGCTTTTTTTCCGTTCAGCCTACCACAGTTTTTACAGCACTGTGAAAGGACAAATGCAATTATTCAAACTGAAGGAT